CACTATTTTCGAGTCGAACCGGGCGAGTCCGGTTCGACTCGACGTTTTTTAAAACGCTGATTATACTCATTTTTTGTTTCATATTTAGCAAAAATTACTCTATAAGGATAAGGGGAATGCCCAAATGGACATGGATGAAAATAGTGGAAACATATATAGAATGGTCTAACTTAGGGTATGGCCCTTGATAGAGCAGCATGGAGGAACAGGATTCATATAACCAACCCCAAATAGTTGAGATAAGGCTTAGATGATGATGATGATGATATTTAGCCAAAAAACAGAAGTATAATACTATAAGAAAGAATATGACAAATTAATGTCATGATCAACAAAAAAAATATGATCAATAATTAAGGATGTAAGCTATCATATTTAAAACTTTAATAACTTCCCTCATCTGTTTTATATCCAATTTCTCATGCTTTTCTCTTGTAGTTTCCTCATTAATTATTTCCAATGGTCTTGTTTTATTTTTGTTTATTACTTTTATAAATATGAAACAACTGACATAATGTGTGGGTAACCAAGGGAATGAACTCCTCCAGATCCAGTCCCATCCTTAACTCTTGATCTATGTTAGAAGGATTCTTCGACAAGGGTCCCACACCCATGTCGGACAGGTGGACCGGGACGGATTCTTTTGGATTCCAGATAGATTGGGCGATTTCGGGAAATGAGAGGTTATGACAGACCATTATACCAAAGACCTAATAGCATGGTGGGCGAAAACCATATGGGTTCCAATTCAGGTGTTGAATCAACAGTATCCATGATCTATCTATCACATGTTTTGTGCCTTTTTCTTTTCTTTTTTGTTACTTTATAATCATGGTGCATCTTGTTTTATATTGACACTTCTTATCTTCTATTATATCATGAATGGTATATTATGAATTTTTTGCTAGTCTATGCAAGTACCTATTATCATAACTATACATACATACACAATATATATATATAGCCGAATCCTACTTTTTGGGCCATGAAGAATCGAACACTTCGTACCCGTGTCCTACACCGACACGCGTACTCGTATCCCTGCAACAAAGCTCCTGATTTTATCCGATACGTTAGCCAGATAGATATAGACAGATTTCCAAGGAGCTGAGTGTCAAAGGACCTCTAGCACATAGAAAATCCCCAGCGGAGAACCCTAGATCAAAACAAAAATGCCTTCTAGAATCATGTGCTCAAATAAAGTTGACAAAAAGGTTTGCATTCAGCTAAAGGGAGCCATGGCCTTGGCCAACATCAAGGATGTTCTTCCAATTGAATCTCCAAAAGCCTTTCTCACTCCCCCTAACTCATTAACACAACTACTGGACTCCCCAAACATTGATTTCTATCATTACCCTCTTCCTTGACCAATAAAAATCATCAGTTGATGGTAACTCAAAGGATATAATCTCTTGAAAGGCGGTCCAAATAAGGGTCAGGCAGCCATGCAATTTAGCCAACATTTTTTAAGCCATCAAAGTTGGAATTACAAGCCTCTTCAAAGGAGCCATCGAATCATCTCCTTGATATCTCTAGTTAGGCCTCGCTTCATACCTTACAAACACCCAAAAAGGACCACCAATGGCTTAACATGTTAAGAAATGGTCTCAAGAGCGAAAGAATAATTCCAAACGATCAATCTATTCCTCCATTTCCATTGATCCCACAAACTAGAAGTGGCATGAATTGACCAAATATATGACTTCTCATAATCCAATCCAGAGTTGACAAGAAAGCATAGGCTAGTCACTAATCCAAACTAGAGATCACCAATTATCATAATTACCAAATTTAAATCACCAACAAGACCTGAACATAACAACCTGATGTAGCCAATCTTCAAAAGTAAACTTAAGTCAAAAGCTAACGCGAATATTTTAAGTAAGAACATGATCACAAAATGCAATATGTTTTTGTGCCTGCATGGTTGTGTCTAAAACAAATTTAATTGGTAAAGCCATAAAGCAGAAAAATACAGAATCAACCTTTAATGCATAGTGATTAAAAATATGATATCACGATAGGCCAATGATGGAAAAATCTTCAGAAGAAAGCTTTGCATGTCCATCTTGATTTTGAGGGGGTTTTTTAGTGTAGTAATTTGGATCGGTAGTGGAAGTGTTCCTCACAAGCTTAGCAAACAATTTGAGATTCCATAAGGATTTGTACCTCCTTGACTCTGCAGCCTATTAATCACTATAAACTAAAATGGGTCCATCAACTTTTGCAAAACATAACAAAGATCTATTTAAACAAATTATTTTCCATTGACACCAGAGAAATAGCAACTCAAATAATAAGTAAATATTCACATCATCAACAAAGGAATGCATTCCCTCCCAACAAAGTGTCATCCGAATCAAGTTTAACGATGCATGGCTCAATCACAAATTAAGGCTAATGGTGTAAGCACACCCCGCCCTCAATCACAAATTAAGGCTAACGGTGCATGGCTCAATCACAAAAAGGGGAAAGATAAACAAACAAAAAAATGGAGGATCCCTATTTCTTCAGTGAGGTCAGTCAGCAAACACCTTCCTCAATAGAGAGCAAAGCTACCACCATCCATGAATAGCTTGCAAGTTGCGAGCACATGGATGCCAAGTCCAAATCCAGACCGATTAGCCAATAAAATTCAACCCAATACAACATTTATTTTAGAGGTAATCTTCAAGCAAAGAACGTACATTTCCAGCAACCATTCCTTTAACCATCTGTCCCACGAGTTCCTGAGCAAGCAACAATTGGCAGCAAAATTAAATATGAAATTATTACACACCCATTTAATCAAGAGAAAGGAGAAAAACAAAAACAAGAGGAGGAATGCTAAACTCTGACAACAACAACGTACTTTGGATTAAGAAATACTCACTTCTTCTCCTTGAAGTTGAGGGCACAACAGCAGGTAATGGATTGCCATAAGCACAACCACCAACTTCCTTTGATGAACCAACTATCAGAGGGTTTCCACACTGAACCGCTGGTACATCACAGACCCCAAATCCTTGGCTCAACCCCCCATTATTATGAAGAGGCACATCCTCCTGGACAGATTTATCAGAAGGGCGAAAGCATTGCAATTGTTCATTATCACACTGCTCCAAATTACAAGAATTCAGGGCAAACCCACCTCCAGTTAATGGCTGCTGGTGTTGAAGAACCGAAGATGATGGTGGGGGCTTATTAGTGTAGGGAAAAGAACCAATCTCTCCTTCAATTCTGCCCCTAATATCAACGAGCAAGCACTTGAGCCTCGCGACCTCAGCTTCTAAGGCAGCCTGACCCTGCAATTTCTTCATCAATTGGTGGTTCATAGCGCGAAGATGAACAACCTCATCCTCTAAAGAAGCAGCTCTAGCTTTCTTCTTCTCCCTGTACTTTCTCACTGCCTCCTTGTTGCCCAGCGGCCTTTTCTTCTTCTGCTGTTCATTAATGGATGATGATTCTTCTTCACCTGTTGTTGCAGCTGCATCGTCGTCATTGTTGGGGTCTGCAGAGGAGAGGATCTTAGTGTGGACATGGAAGCAGGTGTGAGTGTGGGCGAGGTCAGGGCCGGCGGGCGGATTGCAGGTGTGGGTATGGGTACAGGATTGAGAATGGATGTCTTTCACGAACAGGTCTTCGAAGAAGCTACCCATTGAGCAACCATCATCACAATCCCCCAGCCCCATCTCCATGCTCGGCCTCGAAAACACATCCTGGTTCGAGAAATCGATCTCCCCATCCTCCATATCTCTCTCTCTCCAGTTCTTTCAGACGTGTCCTTTGTACAGGAGAAAGAGAATGCTCTCACAAAATTGCTGACTCAGTCTTTGTATTGAGGTTTCTCTGTTTCATTTTTACCAATTTTACTCCCAAGAACCCTCGATTTCAATCAAAGTCACAGAAAACACCAAAAACCCTACAACACAGACAGACCAGAGCTGACAAACAGGTATGAGGAGCACGGTTTGCTAGTTGCCGCCTTGAACGGAATCTTTTCAAAGGAAATTAAAAAATGTTTAAAAAAAAGATTTCTAACTCCCTCGGGAATTTACATGCAAGTTCGACCTTTTGGAACTCAAATTTAGGGAATGTAATTTCCATAATCCGTAGAATAATCTCAGTAAAAAGAAATTTATAAAATAAACTGTGTGTACTAGGAACAATAATGCTCCAAAATTTAATAGAAGGGGGTGGCTTTTATAAGGTTGCAATCTTAAACGAACCAAATTTTTTCATAATATGTACTTTTGGTGTAAAAAATTGTAAAATTATCACAAATATATTTTAATTTTTCGTCTATTTAAAAAAAAACCTTTAACTTTCATAAACGTTACCTACACTTCTTTTCTTTTCTTTTTTATTTTGAGTATTTTTTACCAAAATAACTTCACCCACACTTCTTTTCTTTGTTTTCGATTTTGAGTATTTTTTACTAAAATAACTTTCAGCTAGCCGTATTACCCTTCTTGTTCAATTTTGAAGCACAATTATCGTACTTTAAGTACTCGTAACCATATTATACGGCATTTTAAATACGGTAATATACACGCCACTTGAAAGGCCGTAAACCTTTTTCTCTTGTGTTTATATTTAACAATTTTATCTAACCCTTTTCTCTTTATATTTATCTTTTTCATCTCTAATTCTTTTCATGTTTATCTCTTTTTCTTTCTCTAATTATTTTTAATATTTATTTCTTCTTTTTTCTCTCTTTAATTCTTTTTAATATTTATCTCTTCGTTCTCTCTTTAATTCTTTTATATTCTTTTTTTCTCTCTAAATTGTCTCTCCAACTCTTTTCTCTCTCTTAGGAGATTTGTATAACATGTGAGTACATTCCCTCCCCTATAGAAACTCCCCATCTCCTATGAAAATTAGAGGGGGTGAGATTTGTATCGTGTTAGAATCGCTTTTGTTGAGTTGGTGAAGTAAGTAAAGAGAGAAAGAGAGTTAAAGAGAAAAAAGAATTAAAGAGAGAAAGAAGAGATAGAAAAAATTAGAGAGAGAAAGAAGAGATAACTTTTAAAAAGAATTAGAGAGATAAATATAAAAAAAAATTAGATAAAAATAATATATAAAAAGAATTAGAGAGAAAAAAGACATAAATATAAACAGAAAAGGGTTTACGGGATTTCGAGGACAGTATAACATGGGTTAGTTTTTTAGGTACCGCGGTATAATCGGTTAGGTTTTAGCGTACTTAAAATGCCATATAACATGGAAGTTTCTGTGAAGGTTATTTTGGTCAAAAAAATTTGAAGAAAAAGTGTGTAGGCCAAGTTTATGAAAGTTGAAGGTTTTTTAGGTTTCCGTGAAGGTTATTTTGGTAAAAAAAACACCCAAAATAAAACAAAAAAAGGTATGGCAAGGTTTATGAAAGTTGAGGGCTTTTTTAAGAAAGTTGAAGTTTTTTTTTCTAAATAGATGAAAATTAAGGCATATTTGTGATAATTTTCCAAAAAAATTTTGGGATTATCTCAAAATATATTTTCATATCTAATAATAAAATTTTAAACTCCAAAAATGGTTAAAATCAAGCTAAAATGAAAATCTTGAAAATTGACAGTCTAGATAATGTGTTGCAAGAAGCATTATTTTTGGGACTCAAAATCTTTTTTGTTTATCATATTTATACATCTCGATGTCGAAATGATCAATTAGAGAGTTTTTCAACATTAAAACAACCTTTTTCGATATAATGAGTTGCAAGATGCACTATTTTTTGAAAGAAAGACTAATGCGATTTTGCCGAGGAATTTTTTTTTTTTTTTGTTCTTCTTTTCACCCATTTTCTTTTCTTTTTCTTTTCTTTTGGCGAAGATCAGTTACAAGTAGTCTTATTACAATAATTCTTGCTTCAAAGAAAATAAAACTAACAAATCCAATATCTTAAAAACCTTGATGCCATTAAACCAATTTTTTTTAAACAAAGAAAATATCCACAACACTTATGCTTGGGAATATAAAACCAATATAATTAATTATAGCAAGAAACAAAGAACAGAGAGTGCCGGCAATTACCTCAACCAGGCTTATTACACCAACACCAAGTCACCAACATCCAATGGGGCGGGATCAACGATTTAGCTTCAATATCATACTGGGAAAGCAAATTTCGGTCAACCTGAGTATTCACCCTAAAATCTTTACAAACTCTAACCCCCAAAATTTTCTTGGCTTACCCCTAATTTCCTAACCTTTAATATTTTTAAAGCATGAGAGAAAAAGTAGGAGAACTAAGGTTGGGGCATGCCCCTTTAGAGGCTTAGGAGAGAGAGGGTTAAAGAGAGAAAGTTGGAAAGAGACTCAGAGGAGAGGGAGAGTGGGACATGCCCTATGGGAGAGAGAGGAGAGAGAAAGAGAGTTGTGAGAGAGAGAAAAATGTAGAGAATAGGGAGTTAATGCACCCCTATCTATAGAGAAAAATTAAGTTTAGGGTTTTTTAAGGTTTCTCATAGTTTGCCTCTTTATTGAGATTGAATATGGACCGTTGATCAATGTGACTTGTAGGGTGAGAGATCTGAACCATCCATTCCATAGATGGGCCATCAACATTATGGAAGGTATTTGGACCATTATCTCGCTTTCCTTAAACTATTTTCTCATCAATATATTTAAATAAATTGAATCTTATTTTAATATTATTCATTCCATAAAATAGCATATTCTTTTCCATACTATTCAAAGATATGTCAAGTCAAGATATGCTTCCAATATTTAAGATAAAATGTGGTCAATCTTTTCCATATCTAATATTAGATCACATGCCACAAGATACATTTCTTAAATTTGAATAACTTGACAACAAAGCAAACAACCAAGAGGTGGAGCATGCCACCCATGTGTAGCATGTGTGGGCCCCATCCACATGGTATATGGTGGGCCCATGTGTACTATGGGCCCCCATGATATTTAACAAATTAATTTTTAAAATATTATATGAATTTTATATTTTTTGTAAAATATATAACTTTATTTTTATAAGTCCAAAAATTATAAATAAAATATTAAAAGACTCATAAAAATTTAAATAATAATTCTAAAATAATTTCTATCATAAAACAAATATAATTAAATTAATATAATGGGAAATGGATCCATATGGTTTATGAATTGAATAAACAATCATGGGGCACTCCACCTTCAACTGTGAACTACGGACTACACTTGTTTTATCAGATCAATCAAGTGTTTTCTATGACCTACAATCCAAGCAGGGGCTCATTAGCAGGTTATCAAAGTCTGGCCGATAAGCCAAAGGGTCACAATCCCAGTCTGTGGATTTTAGGTCCTCCCTTAAAGACAAGTCAAGGTCACTAAAACCTTATGCGACCACACCTCTATGGCACATAAGGGTATCTCTCGCACATGTAAACGCTTCATCCTAAATGGTGGATATCTGACTTTTTCGAATAATCTATCGATATGCATGCAGCGTGATGGATCATAGATGAGGTTTTGGCCCTAATCTCTATAGGCTCACCATCACATACAAGGGTCACACGGTCCCTCGGCTCATTCTTCTAGGCATAAGCTCCAACCTCATCAAGGGATAACACATAACCCTTCTCGGTTTGTTCTCTATGCCCAAATACCTTGGATTTTCCAACCGACTGACTAAGATCGTCAAGCACAGAGTATGGTCCACAAGGGACTACACTCCCACTGAGTTCATGTTCTACTATATTATTTTATTTTACAAGTACTCATAAGGCCTTTAAAGGTCACATAAACCCACATCTCCCACATGGATTTTGAAGGCCTTACATTCTCTCTTTCTCACTTTCTCTCATTCCCATCTCTCTCTCCGAATTACAATCTCTCTCAAACATTTTTACTTATTCTCTCAATACATTAATCATGGTTTTCGCCATTAATTCTTTGACAAAAGGATTTATAAAGGCAATACATTTTTCTCTTTGTTGCTCGGATATCATTCCAAAAGTGGTCGTAGCTCATCTTTCACATCGCATCATGAATCATAGACCTGTTGTCGTAAAAGACCATCACATACTATCATCACATGGGTCATATGTTCATGGGCTCAAAAGAGTTCTTCAAATAAGCTGCTCCCTTTTGTAGCCATACAACCAGCACCACACATTTGGGCTTCATAAGTGAACAACATTATAGTCTGTTGTTCTATTTGGCATATCAAATACTAGCAGGTGCTCCCACTAGAATATTTAGTTTATCTAGATCTCGATCTTTCTCAATCTCACATCATTCCTCAAGTGATAAAAACATGGTTTTATATGCTTGGAGTTCTTATGGAATCGTGGCTCCTTGGACACGCATATCGCCGCCATGCTGTCGAAGAAATTTCTTGCTGCCTCACAACGCAAGAGGTGAAATTCAAGTCGATTAAATAATTTATTAATTCATACGGGCTCCTCGATCACCAAGCAGCACGCCACGTACTCTGCCTCCATGATGGACAATTTTGTCACATCTTGTTTCTTTGATTTCCAAGAAACTACACCTCCTCTAAGTATGAACACATATCTAGATGTAGACTTCGCATCATCTGGATCCGTGAGATAGCTTGCACTTGTATATTTGAATATCCAAACAGCTAAAAAAAACGTGGGATTGTAGCAGCTCCCAATCAATTATTGCACATACAATTTATACATTCTCAACATTCTTATGCATATATCAAGAGGTAGCATATCAAGTCTCATGTAATATGTAATTCAATACCCGTTGGTTTCACAATATGTAAAAACCTTTATGAACTACAAAGGTTCAACCATACTAGAAATCTTGGTAATAAATTCATACAAACCAAGTTATCTAATCAACACAATATGTGTCAAGGAAGCCTAACATGATGGCGTTCCTACAACATTCCTTATCGTTCAAAGTCTTAGGTAATTGAAGATTCTAAATAACTAGAAACATAAGTCAAGGCATATAGGTATTTTAAAAAAACGTGCATGATAGTTTTTCTCCTACTTTTATAAATACCTTCAAGACACAATGTTTTTCT